AGTAAGCCAGGGTTTCCTCCAATTAATCAGCTGCAGAACAGGGTGTTATGCCTGTCACCCTCCAAGAGATTCAAAAATCAAGGACTAATGGTAATACACAGTTAAACACCCTTGCTTTAAATTTATACAAAAAGTATTGTACCTGTCTTGTACCTCAGCACCTTTACGTAGGAGCAACATCTAGAGAGATTTGAAGTTTATTTTGTTTGTATAAAGTGAAAAAGTACTTATAAATTTAACCAAAAAGTAAAAAAAAAGAAAAAAAAAGTAAAATGTAGTCCTTTAAGTATTAACTGCATCCCTACCGTATCTGCAAATATCTCAGTTAAATTTTTTCTTGTTTGTAGTAGGATTCTTCATTAAAAATAGCAAAAAAAAATGTTTACAAAAATATTAAAAATATTCCTTCAAGAGAGAAACTACTGTTTAATAGAGAAAATTGTAACAGGTTAAGTGCTACAAAAATAAAAATTTTAAATGGCTAATATTAAAAACAACAACTAAGTCCAAAAAACAACTAAGATGCAATGACAGATCCTTGTCTGAAAGCATTATTTACCTAATTTCAGGAGATCCTCATTTGCTTTTCTAAGCCATTAAAAGTCTAAACTGGGTGTTTCATGTGTAAAAAGTCAGTGTAATAAAAAATTGTGTCTTCTTATGATTGAGGTTCTTATCACTGAAAGTATCTGTGCAACTGTCACAGGCAAACAACTGTAACACTTATTAGGTAATGCATCTTTTGTCAGATGCAGAATTTTATCTTCCAGTTACAACATCACCCCATATTTGTGGAAAGCAACAGAATTTCCCTAAGCTAGCTTGAGCTGCTCAGTAACACCAATTACATAAGAGTTTTCATAAGACAATAAATACTGTAGAAAATACAGTAGATATATAGATATAAGCTAGCAGTCTTGCATCAAAGCCATAGAATTACCTACATTTGGGAGTTTATTTGTCAATCACTACTAGGCTCAGTCCCCAGAAAAGAAAGGAGGAGGAGATTTTTCTTTGTTCTCATTTCCTGTGTAGGTTGACTTTCATGAGAGTTACAAAGACAACTTGACTTTGAACAAGGTTTTTAGCCAAGTAACATTGGGAGAGTAAAGAGTCAGCAACAATGAAGGTAACTGATACAGAAAATAAAGCCTTATCCGAGTTTGTATTTTGCTATAGTGTAGAATTTTCATCCCTTAGGCTCATTTCTATAAACACACACAACTTCCACTCATACAAGACTAACATGCCTTTAAAAAAGACAATTTATTTATAGTGCTGCACAACAGTAGGCTGCCATCAGTCTTGCCTCAACCATCACTGATAAACCCCACCAAAACCAAGTGCTACAGTGGCATGGCAAGTTCAGTAACAGCTGAACTGACATCCCTGTGGAGAGCTGCCTTTGGCTCCACCCAAATTGGTTTGTTACCTTCCCATTTTACCATTTACCAATTTAGCTCTGACCAAACCCTAAGTCAAAGACTCAAGACTACCTGACCTCAAACTGCTTACCCAAAACTTTAATCAAGTAAGACTGGTTATTATAATTCATGAGCAGAACAGCTTGCAAGTCCTGAAGCCTTCAATACAATTTCCATGCCTAAATCACTCACATGCACGTGAAGTCTTCCCTCATGACTCAGTTATCTGGAAAGCGATGTTTCCAAGTAAAAAAAGGCAATCTCGAGCTTTAATGCTTAGTTGCTCTCTCAGTTTTATGTGCTGCAGAAAACAGCTGCATTTCCTCCTCTTTGTTTCAGTACAGACTCACAAAGCAATCACTTTTTCTGCAAACAGGCTGGACTAGAAGCAGACATTTCAGACAAGATAGCAATGCTATTAAGGTCAGATGACAAAGAACTAGAAGGTAAAAACAATCAGAAGAATGATTACTGAAGAATTTTTATTATAATTTTCCTAACCTTGATGCCTTATCCAACAAAGAGCAGAATAGGGGAAGAAATAGAAAAAATACAGCAATAAGTAAATGATACAGCTGAACTGACTTATACCTGCAATAAATATCAAATGTACACATTAAGACACATTTACCAACAGGAATGCAGTCATTCAAGTGACTAAGGAAAAGAAAAAAGGAAGTAAAGCAAGACAACAAAGGTTGGCTAATTTCCTTCTAATGTCATACTCCTGCAGGGAAGCATGACAAATTCTTACCCATCAATTATTTGTCTTTTTGCCCTACGAAGAGAGACAAAACAGGAGTGCCAGAAAGCAATACAAATGACACATGCCCGCGGCAGATAATTACGTAATGCTGACGTACTGCCTGCTCTTTGCTCACAACACTTACTTTGCCGCAATTCCAAGTACAGGCTTTTAACAGCTGCCCAGTTTGAACACTTTTAAACTGCTTTGTAAATAAAATGCAGACACAAAAAGAAGAACAAGATACAGAAAGAAGCTTAAGAGATATTTCCAACAAAGATAAAAATAAGAAACGCTGAGGATTAGCTTTATGATGAGACATTTTCTTTTTCATAAGAAGTCATAGAACTGGCTTTTTGTGCTAAAACTCTAAATTGCCTGCCAGTCTAAAGCCTTTTAGTTTAACTTACTTAGAAGAAACCACAAATAAAAAGAGAAAGCTCCTTCAACTTCATTGAAGTGCTATGCCAGGAACAGAAACACAAGTCAGTAATTATTTCGATAATAATACACACCTGGAAATCTTTCTATTTACAAGAGAACTTGACCTGAATAGAGTCAAACAGATCAGCTAGAAGTAAAGGCAGAATGGGTACAAACAGGGCTAAAAGGTATTTATTATTAATCATGGGAGAAAGAAAAAAAAAAACAACAATACAGTGAACACAGCAGAACTGGCCAGATTTCATAAATTAAATTCATAAAATATTTATAAAATGTGGTATTAGCCATATTAAGTCATCTTTTTTCCTACATTTTGTCTTCAAAAACTAGGCCACTACCATAAAATCTGCGATGATCTATTGCTCAGTACCTATCACAGCCATTATGTAAGCAAATACATCACAACACTTAAGATCACATGCTTGAATAATCAGCTGCTAATTAAGTATATCTGCAATTGCCTTGTTCCTTCCTTTCTCTGACCCAAAACAGTAAGTAAACAACATTACAAAAATCTCAGTCTTCAGCAGTCAGATATAACAAAGAAACTAAAACAATACACTCCTTCCTGTGGGGCAGTAATCAGTAAGGCTGTATTTTAAACTCTGGAGCACAGCAAAAAATGACTACACAATTTAATATACATAACAAACTGAGGAGGCCAACTCATGGAGTTAAACATTAAGATAAGCACTTTTGGGAGGCCACACCAAAGAGTGTTTATCCAAAGATGGGCATCAGCATCATCACTGGAAGTTCTTAACAAGCATAAGATAAAAATATTACAGAGACAAATTAGTTCTTCATGTGTTTTTTTTGTACTCCCTTGAGTAACTAAATTAAAGTCTCCCTTCTACCTGCCTGACCTCTAAGAACATGTATTCAAGGCCTTTTAAAACATGCCCAGGTCACCTCAGGCCTCAAGGAAGACAGTTTGTAGGCTCTCAAGAAAATGCTCTCCCAGCATTTTCCTTCTCTGTTGCAGAGAAGAAGGAATGACTTTAGGACTTCTACTGATTTCAAGTTATGGAAGCACAGTGCCAGAAAAGACGTATGCTAGAAATCACTGACCCATAAAGCAGTTGGTGACCAACTACCATCCTAGAAGGCATATGTCACAGGGTGCATGGTGTGTTCATCACCCCTATGACAATCCCTGCACCTAAGTGCCCAAAAGCAGACAGAAATTTAAATCCTCTAAGACTATCACAATAAATATTCCAAATATAATAGAAGTGTTTCCTATTATTTTTTCTTAAAACATAACCTGGGAACAATCTGAATATAAATACCAGTATTTACATATGCACAGACATTAAGTGTGATTACTTCTGTGGACATTGTTTTCACTACTCGGTAAAACACAAACACTAAGATAAATAATTCAGGACTTAGCTAGAAGATTGCAGTAGAAATTTGAATCACAGAGAGCAACAAAGATTTCAGACTTTCTTATCTTTACATTCATAGCAAAGCTATAAAGTACAAGGAACTTAAGGATAAAATTTAAACTTTTGGGGTGACTGACTGCACCTAAGTCATTTTTACACCAAACAGTCAGAAAAGCGTATATATTTTGAGTATAATTGACCTTAAGCTAGTGACTGAAAGATTTATGTAACTGACATTAAACTCATGATTGCGAGAAACAATCAATTCGGGCAGGATGAAAATCTTTGTATCCTAAGTGATTGCTTCTGTGGTTAAGTTCAGTAACTAAAGAAAAATTGGTCTCAGTGACCCACAAAGCTACAGACCGCTCTTGAGAAGAGAGTGCTCGTGCATATGCATATGCACATACACACACACTGAAGGTCAGTCTCCTCCCTGCATTTCACACTTCCCTCCCTCTCATCTTCACACAGGCCTTGCACTCTATCCCTGTGCCAGACAGCTACTAGCTTCTAGAAATCCCAAGCTTTCAGAGGTTGGCTCTGAAAGCGGCACGTACTTAGCGAAGACAAGGACCCCTGCCCCTTCCTCCCCCGGCTGCTCCGCACTGCCGCGGCGCGCCCCGCTCTCCTCCTCGGCCGCGCTCCCGGCAGGGGGAGGCGCCCGGGAAAACCCGCCGAGCCCGGCCCGGGACCGGCCGCCGCGGGAGCAGAGACGGGGGCGGGCAAAGGTGGCTTTCCGAACTGGCCGACCAACAGCCCCCTCCGAGGCCGGGGCAGCCGGGGGCCGAGGGGGGGCAGCCCCCGCCGCCCGAGCAAGGCCCGGCTGTAGGAGCCCCTCCGTGGGACGGGCCGCGCTTAGCCCCGGTCCCGGTCCTTGCCAGACCCCCGCACGTAGAGACGGAGGCAGGGCGCCCCGGTCGCACCGTGCCCCGCCGCGCCGGCCCGAGGGGCGGGGAGAGGCGAGCGGGGCCTCGCCGGGGACGCCGCACTCACCACTTGGTAGCGGCTGACGGGCTGGTGGTGATCCATCCTGGCCACCCGCCGACACGCACGGGCGCGGCCGCAGCTCCTCCGAGCCGGCGCCGCGTCGCTCAGTCCGTCCTTCCTTTCCTTCTTTCCTTCTTCCTTCCTCCCCCTGCCCGTTCGCCCGGCGCCGCCGCCGCCCGGCCCGGCCCTGCCCCGCTGCGGCCGCCCCCCGCCCGCCCCCGCGGCGGCGGAGCCAGGACAGGCCCCGCCCCGCCTGGAGCCGCGGTGGCTCTGCCGGGGCTGGGCGTGAGCGGCCTCCGGGCCCGCGGGGCGGCTCTCGGCTCTGCGCCGCTCTCGGCTCGGGGCCGCTCTGCCGGGATCGGGGCTGCTTCGTCCTTCCCCTCTCTCCGCTCGGCAGCGCTGTTCTGTGGGGCTGTTACGTCCCAAGCCCAGGCCTTGCCTAGATATTTATCACTATTGATCACCATGGGGCAATGAGAAATACAGTATGGCACAGAAGACATCTTGGGGACCCGGAGAGCGATTTTGTATAGGCGTCTACCTAAAGTGATTAACAGTCCTGAGCCCGTTTGCCTGCTGTTCCTGTGAAGGCAAAGCACCGTTCCATGGCAAGGAAATGAGATTTTCCTCTTCTCTCTTCCTCCTAAAACTAAATGTTCAGATGTTTATGACCTCCTGGTGTAAAACCGGTTAAAAACGCCTGCGCCCATAAAGGTGTATCGGACGAGGCTGACTCATTTCTAGGTTCCCAAAGTGCCAGATGTGTAGCTGTGGCACGCAACAATTTCAAATAGCCGTAGATGCATCTCTTGGCTGCAGTGGAGAGGAGTGTTCGCGTGTAGCTGATCTGTAGCTGATCTGCAAGGCAAATGCTCTCACAAAAGTGGCTTCCCGCTATCACTAATGGCCGGCACGCAGAACTTTATCCTGCAGCTGAGGCCATCACCTTTCCGTAGCTGCTTGCTGACCTGAGCAGCAGGGGCAGTGTTTTTGTGCAGGCAGTGATCACTGGTGAGCTGGGTGAGGACCTGCGGCAGTGGGGTGAAGCGGCAGTACGCGCGTGGGAGGGCAGAGAAGTGGAGAGCCAGCTCCATTGTTGGAGTTAGGTTTCTCGATGGGGGTGGGAATGAAGATAGGCAGGGTTATAAGGAAGGAGGAGGTGGAAGCGTGAGACTTTGTGCCTGTGTGTCTGGGACCTTGCTTGCAGCCCTTAAACCCTGCTCGTGTAGCAGTTACTAAAGCTATCCAAATGAAAAGAAAAACATGTTTGGAAAGTTCCGGCCTGTTCTCTTCGTTGCATTTGTTTTGTTTCTTGTACAACTCCGTTGCACATCAAAAGCCTCGGCAGTTAGGAAACAAAGTTGGCAGAGAAATATAGGCAACAGATTAATATTATTTTCCTAACAGGATTTTCTCATTTTTCTTCACTATATATATTGAATGTTTAATTATTCTGTCCTAAAAGGAGCAGTTATTAATAAAGGTCATCTTGAGTTTAAGAAAGTTTGTACAGAGTATTGCAATGTGTTTCAGTTTCCAAAACCTCTTAATTATATTTCCAGATTTCACAGGACGTGGAAATTGGAGCATTCATGGAATCAGTTTGACATCTTCTGTATCTGTAGCAACAATTATCTCCAAAATAAACTTTTTGTGAAGTGTTGCATGTGACATAGCTCAGGAAGTTGTCACCTGATCTCCATGGCTTTTTAAGTGTTGTGTCTGAGCTCTGCGATACACTGTCCTAGAAACTCCAACTGGTTAAAAGTTGCCAAATGGAATTTGAGACTGCAAGTGTTGGAATACAGTTGAGTAAGCATTTACTAAGATATAATGTTCAGTTTTGAACTCATGCAATTCATGTCTTTTAAAGGAAGAAAGGACAATAAGCAAGAACCAAAGTGTATTTAATAGGAAAATTGGAAAATATTCCACAGTGCTTGGGAAAAGAGTCAGTAGAGGCAGGAGCAGATTCAGTAGAGATAACAGAGTTGTGTGTGGAGAGGGAGCTTCATATTTAGGGACAAATTTTGGATGGATGGTTTAGCTTATATACAGAGACCAAACTTACTTTGGGAATATAAATTTAGTTATGGGACTTATACCAAAGCAGGCCATGTGACTAATTTAGGCTTTAAATATGCCCTTCTTTTGATTCTTATTCTTTCTGGAACATCAAAATATTAAAAAAAAGGGAGATCACACATTTCTTTCAGATCTTTGTATTTTCAAAATAGTGTTATCTGTATATTTTAATTTAACTGTCTGATTCCAGAGGTTTTGACCATAACATAATATTAACCTATAATGCAAAGCAATTTGCAAGCACTAAGGTTCCTTAAAATCACAGAACCACAGAATGGTTGAGGTTGGAATGGACCTCTGGAGGCCATCTGGCCCACCCCCTGCTCAAGCAGGGATACCTAGAGCAGGCTGTCCAGGACCAGAGAGTTTTTGAATATCTCTGAGAATGGAGTCTCCGCAAGTTCTTGGGGAAACTTAAGTCAGTTCTTGGTCACTCTCACAGTAAAAAAAAAAAATAAATTCCAATGTCCAGAAGGAGCCTCCAGTGTTTCTGTGTGGGCCCATAGTTCTGTCACTGAGCACTACTGAGAAGAACCTGGCTCCATCTGCTATGCACCTGCCCTTCAGGTATTTATATACATTGATGGGATCCCCTCAGAGCCATTTCTGATGCAGGCTGAAGGGCTCCAGATCTTGAAGGCTTTCTTCACAGAAAAGATGCTCCAGTCCCTTCGTCACCCTGGTGGCTCTCTGCTGGTCTCTCTCCCATGAGTTCATATTTCTCCTGTACTCTCCTGTACAGAATATACATTGAATGTAGGAAATGCGTCTTTCAGAAATTCTAGGGCTTTATTACTTAGGTGAACAAATCAAGTGGACTGTCCTGTTGACTAAAACACTTGAATGCTAGTTTTAAGATTTATTTTTTCATTTTAACATTCTTAAACCTTAAGGGCCTATAACAACAGTAATGGTTAGTGTTGCTCTATTAGGAACGGCGAAATGAACGACACAGACTCTCTCAGGAGTCAGTCAGGAGAATTTCTCTCAGTTTATTGCTTCAGATCTTTTTTATAGACCGATAGACGTGAAAGGTACAGAAAAGAAACTCTTACTGGCTAGTAAACTAACACATCACCATCATTGGTCAGCGGTATACACCACCCCTCGACCTTCTCTTGCCAGAAAACAAGGAACAGACAAACAGCACCTGCAAGGCTGTTTTCTGTCTCTGAGGATTGTTTCAAATCCTCCTTATGAATTCTCAGGCCACTTTCTCAGGCAAGACTGAGAAAGCTATGTGGCCTGCAGTTTCACATGCTCTCTGTTTCAGAGTTAGCATCCATAGGTTAGGACTGTTTTCTGGATCCTGCAGAATATTATTTTTTGTCAAAGAGCTGTATTTAAAGAGACAGAAATAGTCCTCTAAATAACATGTAATCAAAATATTTTCAAATTTACATTTAAAAGGAAGTATTGCTTCAGACCTTTTTTAGGAAAAAAGAAACTTAATTGCTGTTAGTCAGCAAACTTACAACAGTTTAAACTTTGTTCCACCATGAAAATCAGCCAAGAAAATATTCTTCTTGGTAACAACAGATCTTGCAAGCCCAGTTCTGTGAAAAGTTGTCTTGAAGGATGGCATTTGAATTCAGACAAGTCTGAACTTAATTGCATGAAGGCAAGCAGTCCAGGACTGTTAGCAATTTTAATCTTGTTTTTCATTCATTATTCAATCAGTGACCAGCAAATAAGAAAGTACAGTATCTATCTTTACATTTCTTCACCTGTATAAGCCTACTCAAATTTTTAAGGTTTCTTATGGAACTTTCAGAGTAGGTAGATTTCAGAACTAAGTTAATTTTATGGTAATAAAGATACATAAACCAAATACTTATATTGGTTAAAATACAAATATTTATATTACATTTATAGTACATAATTTTGTACTATTTTAAGTAAATATAGCAGTTACTATTTTACTTGCTATACCATATAAAGAATTTAAAAATTAAAAGCTGTACATTCCTATCAAAACCTGGGCAAAAAGTAAAATTTCAGGTTTTATAGCTTTGCTTTACACCTTAAGCATGTGTTTTTAAATGTCTAATATAGATAATGTCAGTGAGAATTTTTTTTTTCCAAATGTAAATCTAATTAAATTAAAGTACTTAATTTACTCATGGACCAATCCTAAATCAGGCTGTGAATTTATTGACCATATCTATTTTCCTCTGTATTTTCAAACTCCTTTTATAAACTATTTGGTTTTAATTCTGTGTTCCTTTTTACGTAAACTGCACAAAATTTCCAATCTCTGTATGGGCTTAGATAGTTACTTTAAGCAGGAAGTTGGTTTAAACAAATCATTGGGACTGAATTTCTTAGAAAGAAACAGCAGAACTTTGGCTTGGTTTTCTTTTCTTCTCCTTTTTTTAGGCAACACAGGCAATGCCACAGCCACCATTAGTAGGAACACTGGGCTACTTTTAAGATTTTTGTAGCCGAATTTAGATTTTCAATTACACTGTAATCATCTGTGTTCAGTGTGCATATACACGTGTACAGTTTTGCAAACCTGCCCTTTGGATATGTCCAAATACCATGCAGGTGTGTCTGAACCAGGTTTAAAAGTCACTACTGCAACACAGAGCTCAGACTGGGAAATATCTCAAATATTTGTCTTGGTCTAGGACAGATTTTGCAGCCTGCAAGGATCTCTTTTCTGCTGCAGCTATTTCCTGCTAAGTCATGGAGACAGTACTGAACTAGCTCAGATATATTCTAAAAAGCTCCTCATGGCTGTGCATGCCACAATTGTACTTTGTCTAAGCTCATAGCAGGGTTAGATCCCTACATCTCTGTTGTCTCCCTTATAACCTACATTAATTACCTTTGCTAACTACAAGCACAGTTAAAGCCGGACACCACAGAAGTGAAGGAACATCATCTTTCAAAAAGGCTTCAGACAAGTTCAGAGAGCCAATGCTCACATTAGCAGTAGTACAGCTTCTTCAGTACAGCTCAATGGCTTTGCAAGGAGAAAAAAAGAGCCTAATGAGCTGCCACTGCGAGGCGATTGCTTAGCCACTTCTGTGCAGTAATCTGTGAGCCTAGAGCAAACAGTACAGAGTCCATAAACAAAGGCTGAAGC